AACATAACTTTGTTTTATAGCCTCACCGAATAAAAACAGTATCATGTCTCGTTTTTATAGAAATAATTCTTGATTTGAAATCTAAAATCCTTTAAATGAGAGGATTTTTGAGTCAATGTTCTGCTGCTCGTGTGGACATTAAACGTTTCAGAACCAGGTTAGTTTAAGTTCATTTTGGTGTGTAACAGTAGGCGTAGAAATAGTATAAAAAATAGAACAATTTATCATATATCTATTAATAAAGTGCAATGAAAGAGCTGCTGGCCTGCAAAATGTTGAGAAAAACATGAAGAAGTCTTTATTGCATTTAAAGATCAGCTCAATAGAAAAGTGATTTTTTTTTTCTTCAATTAAAAAGGTGAAAATGTATCATAAAAGAAAAATAAAACTTTGTCCCTAAAGGTAGAATCCTCTCGCTGTTTAATAAGCTGTCTGTGCAAAAGCATTCAAACAAGCGCGATGATTCATTGGTAAATGAAAGAGGGTTTAGCTTGGTCCTCTGCATAAATGTTTCTGAATCATAGACAGAGCACTGAAACCAGTGTGTGGATTGAGTTGGTTTTGTTTCCATTGTGCAGCATTTTGTTTATGTCTGACTGTTTCACCTTCAGCCATTAAACTTCAAATAAAGACTAAAGAGTTTCAGAGTCTCTGCAGGTCTCTCTGTAGGACTCTGTGGGTCTGTGAGGGTCTTTGATACATGTTCAGTCTGCAGAGAAACATTGAAGCTGCAGGAAAACAATTATTCTGCAGAGAAACAATTTAGCTGCAGATAAACATTAAATCTGCAGACAATTGTTTAATGTGCATAGAAACATTTAAGCTTCATATAAAAAAAACATCTATTCTGCAGAGAAAAACATTGAATGTGAACAGAAACACATTCAGAGCAGAAACAGGGGGGGGTGCGCCTTCTCTAAAAGAAGGTGTTCACATTCACATCTCCACCACTCTGCCTGGCTGCTGGGAACCTCCCTCTGCACCCCACCCTCTAACCCACCCCCCCTCCCCCTTCCCCACTCCTCCCCCTGAAGCCCTGTAAAAGGTCAGCAGCAGCGGAGCACCTTTCACCTAAAGGAGGGAAATGTTGCTTCTGAAACAGACACTCCTGCGATCATTCAGAAAAACATCACAGAGATTTATCCTGCATCTAAAAAAACATCTCATTTACCTTGACTGGCTCTCTTTAATGATGCACTTTATTAATTAGGCTTGTACAGAAATTATACTAAGAGTTTAGCAATTTTGGTAATTGGAATTATTTTTTTAATGTGTTTATCGAATAAAAAGCAGAAAAATACTTGAATTAGTTTCCAGTCTGTGCACAGAGCTGAATTTGATTTTCCAGTTTGGAATCACCAGACTGTAAATATGAAGACAATTTGAGCTTTATTATTTCAATTATATGCAAAACAATAACCAAATGAATTCATTTTTTTAATAACGCGAAGTTCTGCCTTCTGTTTGAGCCTTTATAAAGCGTTTCATCCCTTCACAGATGTTTGAGACACATTTATTTATCTCTCCCCCTATTAAAGTGTAGCTTTCATTATGTCACAACGTTAACTCAGTTTTTACATAAGTGACTGTTGGAGGTGGGTAAGACAAATATGACAAACATAAATCTAGCAATAAAACATTTAAGAGCTCATTGTTTAATCAAAATAAACACTGCTCCACCGAGGTTTCGTTTGATTCATCACTCAGATTCAAACATGATCCTGACATTAGTGTACACTTGATGTCTTGATGTAAACCCGTCGTTGGTAAAGAGTTAATGTGCTTCAGCTGTTTGTCGCTCTGTGTCTGAGCTGACGCAGAATGAAACAGCAGCTGATTAGGATACAAGATGAACCCGATGATCTCTGCAGCTTTTCTCCCATCTCACCGCTCCTTTAAGAGGAATATTTATAACCTCTGTATCTGATCCTCAACATGACTCTGTGTCAATTCATTGACGCACCTGAGAGGGTCCACCGCTGGATGGACGAGAGGAGGATGGAGGAGGAGGAGGAGGAGGAGGAGGAGGAGAGCACACCGCTGCTGCTGCTGAAGCTGCTGAGGAGGAGGAGGAGGAGGAGGAGGAGGAGGAGGAAGAGGAGGAGAGCGGAGAGGACGATGATGATGATGAAGGTGATAAACGGCTTCTCGCCTTCGCTCTTTGTCTGTGATGGTCTTCTGGCTCCACCTGCTGGACGAATGACTGAACAGCAGCCGACTTAATGATCTGATTATATTCAGAATATTTGACGCTGCTGTACATCTGTGTGAGGGTATGTTTCCGGATAAGCTGACACTGTTTCTTTTGAAATTATCATTTGCTAATTAATATATTATTTTCAGTCATAATACTTTAGAACAGTGGTTCTTAACTCGTCTAGCCTCAGGACGCATTCACAAGAAATCATGACTTAAATTTAGTTTTTTCAACCAATGACATTTAATTAGGCCTGATGAAAATTATTACAGCTTTGAATTTATATGGTACAAAGTATGCAACTGAACAAAGAGAAGGAATAAAATGAAACAAACATGTTTAAAAAGCACTTCATTGACTTTTAGTTACAATTTGTTTTCCAGGTACACATTTAAGACCCACTGGAAACAGCTCCGTGACCCACTTTTGGGTCCCGACCCACCAGTTGAGAACACCTGCTATAGAATATAGGGGAGACTAAAGGGACAGTTGCAACAAGTCTTAGCCTATTCCTCCAAACAGAAACATGCACAGGGTTGTCTCACACTGCACATGCTCAGTTTGCTCCTAACAGGAGGACCGAAGACAAATTACAACATTTAAAAAAAAATTTGATGAAAGAAATTAAAGTTATCTTTCATTCAATCATAACAGACGAGTCATCAAAAAAGCACTTTCACCGCCTTAAAGCAGGTGGGTCCTCTTTACACCATTTCCTGGTAAATGCTTTCTTAGTTGCTGCAAGCAAGACTCTTAACAAATGAGTCTCGTATCGGTCCCCAGTCTCCCCTATTCCATCACATAACTTAAGCTAAGTTAACTTTATATATTTTATATAAAGATGCAACTTAAACAACTAACTAGCTCAGATGATAAAAAAAACAATAAAATAAGTTATCATAACAAAGCAGACAACACACAAATATATATTACAATGTTGCCAGGAGACCATGGTCCCATAAAAGCACTGGGTAAATGCATAGAGCATATCAATGAGTGGATGTGCAAAAAGTTTCTCCAGCTAAACAAAGACAAAACTGAGGTTGTTGTTTTTGGAGCAAAGGAGGAGCGACTAAGAGTCAGCAATCAGCTTCAGTCAGTAAGACTTAAAACCACAGACCAGGCAAGAAGTCTGGGCGTTGTGATGGACTCAGACCTCAATTTTAAAAGCCACATTAAGACAATTACAAAGTCAGCCTACTATCACCTGGAGAACATATCAAGAATTAGAGGACTTATGTCCCAGCAGGACCTGGAAAAACTTGTCCATGCTTTTATCTTCAGTCGTCTTGATTACTGTAACAGTGTCTTTACAGGTCTGCCTAAAATATCAGTCAGACAACTGCAGCTGATCCAGAACGCTGCTGCTAGACTCCTCACCAAAACCAAGAAAATGGATCACATCAGTCCAGTTCTGAGGTCTTTACACTGCCTCCCAGTCTGTCAGAGAATAGACTTTAAAATCCTGCTGCTGGTTTGTAAAGCGCTGAATGGTTACGGGCCAAAATACATTAGTGACCTCCTGATTAATTACAAATGATCCAGAAAAAGTGACTTTAGACTCCTCTTGCATATTAAGTTCGTGACCAGCCAATTAGAGACAGAGTAAGGAGGGTCATCCCTTCACGATCCTCGGAAAAACATGCAGCATACTGAATATTGTGAATCCATCTTTGGTGTGAATCAGAGGATATTTAGAAGTGAGAGTAGACCCTATTGAGACTGAATAATAAATTGGTACACTCTGTATACCCTGTAGGGCAGTGATCAAAAATCAATAAGGTAATATATTGTAGTGTGCTCCTTGCAAATACATGAACTGATGCAGATGTTACAGAATCTATACGGCTTGACCTATCAGTGCATTTCACATTAACACTATAGCCTCTGGAATTATAAAAATGTAATGTATTTCTAGGATCTCTGAGGACCTGAAGTGAAGTGTTTTAAGTTGAAGAATCCTTAATATGCCTCTGCTGTTATTCTCAACAATAAAGAACAGCTGTTGTAGTGAATTCTGTGTAGGACGGTCACTCTCCAAAATCAATGTAGATCATGATATGCATCGTATCAAGTCCTCTGTCTCGTGATATCGTGGGGTTGATATAAAAGGCCAGCCCTAATACCCTGCACTACACTGCTGGTTGTAACACCTCAAAAACTCAAGCAGCAGAGTAATGTGTTTCTTGAGCATAAGTCGCCCCCTGCTGGACACGAGAAAATGTGCAGCAGACAACAGAGGTAACCCAGGGATTTTGGCCCCTATGAAAAGCTTCAAATGCGTTGTTTTTTGGTAAACAAATATTCTAATGTTTTATTTGGGGGCGCTGTCAGTTATGGGCCCTTAGAACTGTCCTTACTTAACCCCCCTGTACGGCGCCCCTGCTCTGATGTTATCATGAAACACACTTAACTGGTCTCATACACTGGTTAATTACACTCTACAGATTGTGCAGATCACAGAGGTTTACGTCTTATCAATTCTCACAGCCGCTTTATGATCATTTTATTCGTCTTTCAAGAGTGTCTGTTAATTCAATGACACAGTTTACACTCAATGATGTACTGATTGTATGATCACCTGACACACCATCCAACAAAGTCGAGCTGCTTAAATTTTGGCACCAAACATCAATGTGACAGACGGGTGCAGAGCATGTCAAGACTCATTTAATCTGTTGTTTGAAATCAGGGTTCTGTTGTTTAAAAAATCTAAATAAACATGTTTCCTGTATTAGTCACAGACTAACAAATACACCATATTTAAGTAGTTCTCATTTAATGCAAATAAATCACCGACCGGTAAATAAGAAGATTTTATTTGGAAGCTGTGAAGTATACAGAAAAAAACATTCTTCAAGCACAAACCTCTAAATAAAAGAACCAGAGAAGAATCATATTTTTGCGTTGGTCGCTCTTACTTTCTGGAGAAAGTTAGGAGAGATTATTTTGGAAAACTTAAGCTTTTTTTTTTTAACCTTTTGCCTTTATCTTAGATAGGACAGGGGACAGAGAAGGAAATCAGGAGAGTGTCTGGGAGTGACATGCCAGAAAGGACACACAGGTAGGACTTGAACCCGGGCCGCCCGCTTGGAGCACTATACCTCCGTCATTGGGGTGCGATCACTTGGCCATCTGCGCCCCACACATTAGACTTTTTAAATAAAACTTGTTGAGAAAAAGAAATCCCATTTTATCTTTTTATTAGATTACTATTACAAAGAAGGGGTTAAGTCTTGATGGTCACGTTTGTGTCAACTTTAAAAAAAAAAAAAAACATTGATGGTTGAACGTCCTGTGTATGACTCATCCAACCAATCCTACCTTTCCACTTTTTTTCACCCTACTAAGTAACCTGATTTTCACAGCACACAAAGAATTAAAACTAGAAGAGGAACCTACAGAGTCGTGTTTTGAAGCGTGGGGATTGTGATGAAGCAGCCATATTTGAAGTTTTGGGAGTGAGAGTGGTCTGACAGATCGTCTCAGGTAAAGTGTCCCTGATCACCCTGAGATCCTCGCATGTACAGCGATCAGTCGTCAGTCTAATATTTTAAATTGTTTGGTCCCGGTGAGCTGTAAAATCACCACGAGAGTAGATGAAGTCACGTGTCTCCAAGTGAAGACATCAGAGCTCGTCGTGGCGCAGCGGCTCCTGGCTGGGCTGGATGAACACGCCCTCCATGGAGCGCCACCAGTTGTTTTGGTTGGCCGATTTCATGCCGTGCACCTCGCGCTGGCCTCGGATCGGGTGTCCGTACTGCTCGCCCGTCACACTCAGGTAGACGTCGGTGCCCACGTGTTTGAAGCGCACGGCCTCGTCCCGCTCCCAGTGATCGTTGTCACACTGCACCGCCCACACGTCCAGGTCATCGCCCTCTCCGCTCTCTCCGAAGGCGCTGACCTCCTGCAGACCACAAGGAGCGAGGAAGGAGAAGAGAAAAATTATTTGTACAGAGGTAAACAAATAGAAAGAACAGTCCAAACACACATGTAGATGTAGGAAATCTCACATCACTCCCATACTGAAACCTCTGCACTGGCTCCCTTTGGCTTATAGCACCCTCACTTTCAGGCCCAGAATATTTGTCAGACTCATTTTTAGACTTGTGGTTATTGTGCTGTTGACGCCATAGCAAATTCCCTGCCCTTTACGTTACATTCTTCTGACTCTGTTGAGTCTTTTAAAAAGCAGCTAAAAATGTTGTGTGTTTAGACAGGCCTATGAGTAACCAGGTACACCCCACTCTACCTATTGATCTAGGTTTTACTGTGCCAATATTTCTTCCTGGTCATAGCAGGATTTGATCATGTCAGTCCATACTCTTTTGTTCCTGTTTTTATTAACGTTATGTTGTATTTTGTCTGTAGTACTGTATGAATAAACTTTACTTACTTACTAAGCAGGTAAGCTCATTGGACAAAAAGCCTTCTACAAGTGCTGATAAAAGGATACTACATCACCAGGACTTCTCACAATATGCATCAATCCACTTCAGCCAGGTGGTTTGAAAACGGTTAGTTAACATGACAGCAGACAGTGACCTTCTTTATTGATCGGACACCTCTTAATCCCAAAACAGACTATTTATTTCTCTGGTTACATTAAACATTTTAACAAACAGAAACATGTACATGGAGTAGCTGTGTCCTGTTGCAGCATCAGTTTCAATTCTGTCTTAAGTTGTGTTGTAAAGTCCACACCAAACCCTACATGTGAACTAGTTAAGTTTGTAACTTAATTGCGTCGTCTTTTGGTTACCATGGAGATGTGAGGTTCATCTTAACTAGTAGAGCATTACGTCCGAACTAACCAAAATATTGTTGCATGAAGTTTTTACTTGACGTGACCAATCAGAGAGCAGCATTTCTTAATGCAGTGTTTGTCACAGTGTTTCTTCTTGTGTCTGATTGTCTCTGAACATTAACTAACGCATACAGCCTTAACCTACAGCTAGTCAAATAACAACAGTGACATCTAGTGGTGAAGTCATCAACTACAACATAAGGTGATCTGACGGTCCTCTGTTAACAGATAGATGAATCATCTCGCTCAGAAAAATGTAAAGCGGAGTAAAATTAAAGTCATCCTACATTTCTGAGAGATGTAATCAATAACAGTGAACGCACGGCTGACACTGTCCCCAAAGTTATCCTACCGTTCAAAACCATCACCATGACAACCGTATACTTTACACCTCCGAGGAGGTGGGTGTAACTTCTGCCTTTGTTGGAACTATCTAGTGTGTAAACGCTGTCCTATAGTACATTCAAACGAGGCTACTTTTAAACTTGTGCATAGCTGCTGCAACCCAGTGCTGGTCCGTGGTAACCATGGAAACTAGCAGAGCAGAGTGCAGAGAATGTTTGGGTTGCTCGTCAACATACCAGTTACAGTTCAGTCGTGGATCTTGTTGAGCAAAAAACTAAGCTGGTGTTGATTTGGACTTTTTACTACTATTTGCTGCCTGAATGGGTTTTATAAAAAGGAACATCACACTCAAGTTATCTTCAGCATCCTCGTGCCTACAACTGAATCCCAGCGTGCTAACATTTAATACAACATCTCGCCCTCAGGTGTGATGTTGCTTTAACACAACACTTTTAAAGTTGTGTCCCGTGATGTTGTTAAAGTCTCACCTGGTTATTGGACAGCGGCGAGTTGAAGCGGTGTGAGTGCAGGTTTCGGCCCGTCTTCATGTGCGTGATCCGGATGGCCTCGCCACACTTTATGGCAACTCCTCGCTTACACGGACGGTTTGGTTTCCCCCGAATCTGCCAGTAGCTGTTTGAGTCGTCTGCATTTTCCACACCAGTGACAGACTGCTGCCCGCTACCTACACACACAGACACACACAAACGCAGACACACACAGACTTTAGATTGTTTTTTGCAGATTTTCCACTCGCTCGCTCTCTCTCTCTCTCTCTCTCTCTCTCTCACTCGGTGAAAGATTAAATATGATAAACTCTGGTGGGGTGCTGATCCGAATGTCGTTGGTGTCAAGAACTACAGAATATTTCAGATAAACAGTCCCACCCTTGTTGGTATTACAAACTAGCTGCCTGTACTGTTACACTTTGAAATGAAGAAACACCATCTTGAAATGTCAGAGCAGAGGCTCAAACATGGTCAAAATTACCCTGAGTTTGTGGAAAATGTATCAGTACATTTTATTTGACTTAAAAACAAGATATAATACAGGGTCATCAGATTTGATCATGATAATTAAGGACTAGTGATGGGAAATATGAAGATTGAATCTATTTAAATCAATTCACAGGTATATCTGTAACATATGTAATATCAAAAACAAGAAAATCAAGGTTTTACAACATGCAAAAAGATACTTTACAGTCGCATCGATGATCGAGTTATAACAGCACACGGGTACATTATAGAATACATGACTCATTTACTGAATTGCATAAAGTTCAGGATAGATTTAAACTTTGTAAAATTGTATTATAACTAAGATCAAATGGGATGAGATCACATTAAAAACGGATAACTCTGAGCCAACAGAAACATTACACCTCAGTGTTTCTCCTACCATTATATTAGGGGGGCGCCCCCCCCCCGAAGGTCAAGTAAAAAATAAAAACTTTTTTTTTTTTAGATTTATTTTTGGGCTTTTTGTGCCTTTATTGTAGAGATAGGATAGTGGATAGAGTCAGAAATCAGGGAAAGAAGTAATTTAAGGATAGCTTTCCGATAGAAAAGGACATCTGTCATTAAAAGTAACACATGAACACCAAGATTCCATCAAGTGTTTGTGTCGGCATGTCGGCTTGTCCCCACCCCCCCAACACTGTAAACCTAGGGAAAACACTGTGCCTGTTTTACCTTCAATTAGTCACTTATTCTTTTGTTGTTACACTGAATTGTGACTGAGGGACAAAGCCTTTTTCATTCTCGCCCTGACAGTGAATACATGTTCTTGCACTCTGTAATGTAAGATGAGCAGGTATGATCTCTCAGGAGAGCTGCAGCAGAATAGTTTCTGGCAGAAAGCCCTGCAGGTAAACCTCTCCGGTTACAGCTCTCAGCTCGGATATGACAACACAAACCTGACAACAAGACCGAACTGGAGAGAGTGAAGTAGAGAAGATTTTTCTAGCTATTTAAGGACAAAGACACAGAAACGGCAAAAGTGTACTAATAATATGAAACAACAGTCAGCCAACATGTGAAATAATATAACATTTAATCAAATCATTCACCACAGGTTTGTGCTCCGGGGATCACTGTCCAATCTTTCAACTTCAGCAGTATCTTTTACCAACAACTTTTGAATGGCTAAATATAAATTACTCACTTCCTTAAAATTGCTTCACACACTTCCTGTATCACTCTCAGACTCTATTAGAAAATAAGAACACTTTTTTTTCTCTGTGTGTGTGTGTGTGTGTGTGTGTGTGTGTGTGTGTGTGTGTGTGTGTGAATTCTGCAGCTGTTCAGAGAGATGCAATCAGACCAGCACGCCTCTAACAAGAAGTGTCAAGTTTCTACAACAACTAGAGTCAGCCAGCAATGCACTACAGGCCACGATGATCTTTTCAAAATAAAGCCTTTTAAGTCATGTAGAGATGTATGATTACTGTGGGGACGTCTAGTTTTAGTAAATGGTTACAGGAGAAGATGGAAGGTAGAGAAAACTGGGGCAATAAGTCACACATCAAGGACTAGGACTCTGACTACACACCAAACTGGGGGAGAGGAAATTAGAAGGAAATCTGATCAATATAATCATCATACTCATTGTCATGTAATGATATAACATTTTATATAGTGCTTGAAATGCGAACAGAATGCTCAGAAATTTGAAATAGGAAAACATCATAATATTACGATTGTAAATGACAGCCAGACAGACTAGTTTGTTTTCTCAGCCAATTACTGAATAGGGCAAAAATCACTGATTACTGAAAAGACAGCTTTCACACAGTGAACTATTGGAATGAAAGTCGAGCTTTTCTACGAGGGATTTGAACCAATCTGACACTGCAAAGGTATTTCACAAATCTTTTTTTTGTTAAATTACTCATTGGGTGCAGAGGGCCCAGCAGTTAGGTTGCACCCCATGTACAGAGTCTCTAGTCCTTGAAGCGGGCGTCTTGGATTCAAGTCCGGCCTGTGGCTACTTTCCTGCCTGTCATTTCCCACCCTAACTCCCTGGTTTCCTACTCTATCCACTGTCCACAAAGCTCCCCCCAAAAATTAACTTTTTAAAATTGCTCCTAATTTTGTGGTTTTACAATTATTTGAAAATCGGTTTTAGAGGCTTATAAAGAAAACAACAGTGTTCATTCAAAAATCACTGCAATATTTCAGGTATATTGTGATTGATTGATTTTGACAGTTTGCATTTAGTCGTTGTTGTCGTGTGTGGATTATGATTTGCTCATGAAATGTGTCCTTTTTAAGAGGCTTTATTTTGAAATTTTGACCGGACATAGAGGGGGTTCACATTTTGGATGTTTTGACACCGGTACAAAAAAAAAAAAAAAATCACAAAATAAATGCATTTAATTTAATGCCAGAGCAGATCATGTTGGGCCGGTTAATGTTACAATTTATAGATACGAACACATAGATGTAAAACGATATTTGATTATCTTGGTTCAAATATGAACTGATTGTGAAGCTAACATCCTGACTTTGCTGCTAACATGAGGACCACTGTGTGCCGAACTACCTTCACGGAGCTCACAATTATAAAGGTTTCTGCTTGACGACTCAAAGCAAGACCACCTAAGATATTTATTTTCAATTATACTACAAAAGAAGGTGCTCTTCTTAATTTCGGCTAACAATAATAATGTTTTTGTCCTTTAAAATGTCCACTTTAGGTGTTTGATTACCTGTTCACCTGTCGTCTCATTGCGCTTCTCGTTCCATAAAACCAACACATGCAGGAACTAGAGACTCACACAACCTTCTTCTTTTAGGTAGTTATTGCTTATTAGTTAAATATGTCTATATGTGAGTGAGGCACCACTGTGGGTCTTCTTGAACTCACCTGAGCCGTATTTGACATCGTGGGAGTGCAGGCGGACGTTGTGTCTGGTGTTGAGCAGCTTGACCAGCGAGCCGCAGGTCACATAGCTGAGCTCCGAGTCTCTGCCCTCACACTGACACCACAGCAGCACAAACAGCACGGACTTCACTAGAACCTGGACACCGTGAATTATCTCCATCTTTGTGTGTCTCCGTCCTCGGATACTGACTGACTCGATGATACAGTCACTTTCAAACACGACTGTCGCTCTCGGCCAATCACAGCCTGACAAGTCCTAAAACACGGAAATAAATGTCAACATGTGATTGGTCGAAGTACAGTAGTAGGAAAAGCAGGAAGCGATGGTCAATATTCATGATTTATTCTAATCTGCCTAATCACAAGAATATAATAATAATACAGCAGCATTGAAAACAAACATAAATTAAACAACTATAAATGAGTCTATAAAGCAGCATAGACCACAGAGACATAAAAGTGGCTGCAACCAGTCTTTTCAAAAGAGAGATTAAGAGAGATTAAGTCTTTTTACCAGCTGCTGTATGAGAGAGATTCGTCACTGTAGTCTGTGCGGTGTCAATAAACATGTGGAACAAATGAAAGCTCATTTTGGCCAATGTGATGAAAAAGATGCAATCATTAATATTTCGAACTTTTTTTTAGGGTAACATGTAATTAAAAGTAATCACATAACATTTAAAAAAAATGACAATCCTGCCAAAATCTTGTTAAAATAAAGATTTGGTATATTTGTATGAGAAAATTTTACAAAATAAAGATATATACCGCCAATTATAATATGTAAGGTTCACAGGGGAAAAATACTTGTTTTCCTTTATTCAATATTTTAAGAGAATATCTTATTTTACAAAAATGTTTCATCTTTATGAGATGAGAAATTCTGATGCAAATATCTTTGAATGACCAGTGTCAATATAATACTCTAAGTTTCTAACAGGAATTGGAAATGAGATTTAGGCTAATTATTTAGAGATTTTTATTTCACTGTTTGAAATAGCCTAAAGATTGTTTTCAGTATTGTGAGATGTTTGCGTTTCATTAGAAATAAACTAAGTTAGTTGTACTCTTAGTGAAATGGGCAGAAATGGGCATACATTTAAGCAATATAATAATGAGGTGTGTGAAGAATGATAAAAGCTGCATAACAGGCCATAGGGTGGCGCTACCAGGTAAAATGTCTCAATGAGGGAAACGCTCTAACTAACCCATTGACCCACATTCAGAAAGATATTCTCATTAAAACATAAATAACTTATAGCCTATGTCAAGTGCTGAACATTTAATAAGCTGATTACCTGCGATAACATGCAGAATTCGGATCATTAAACCATCAGAAAACAAACAGAGAGAAGTGTAAAGAGGAACTGGAGCCCCGAGGTCGGATAGAGTCCTTGAACGCACCGTGAGGCAGGTCAGACTGGACAGGTGAGTTTTATCTACCTGAGGCGTCACTGCTCTCAGATCAGTAGTTTTCTTTTGGTTCACCTGTGTTAACCTGTAGTTCTTCTTGATGTCTGACCTGAGATCAGTGTGAGAGAGAGGACAAACAGACAAACAGTCAGGAAGGATGTAGCTGCTTTTAATCACAGAAACCGACGAAGAAGCACCAGCAGGTAAGCAATCGTCTGAAACCGTGTCATTTATACTTTTAATGACACGAATACAGAGTTTAACTTCTTCAAAAGACGGACGAGACAGTCGGTCTTTGTTGTGTTTGTTTATTATAACTGTAACGCTTTGTTTTATTTATTTAACTCTTACCGGCGGTTTACCTGGGAGTGTCTTCAAGCGGAGACACCTGTTCTCTGTCAGTGCTAAGATGCTAATAATGGATTGATGCTAACATCGCTGTTACCTGTGTGCAGTAAATAAACATGTGACTATGTGATGGAAAACATCTAATGTTTTGAAACTTTCTTTAATGACTTGGTAACTATAAATGACATCATATTATTTAAAAAATAAGGAGAAACCCACTTTAAGTTATTATTTTGTTGTTGTATAAAGATTTGGTATCTTGGTTTACGAAACTTTCGCTAGATACCTCAAAATAATGAGACATTTCATTCAAAATATAAACTTTTTCTGAAATGTAGTAAGAATCATACCTACGCTTAATGTCTTTAGAAAGACATTTTTCTTCTATATTCATTATTTTCACATGATATTTTAGAAAAATCTATTTAGATATTTTGTTACAATTCAAATGATCATGTAAGTATCTGATATTAGTAAACAATTCATTACTGTGAAATGATATGTAATTATTTAAAGATTTTGTTCTTACTTTTTTCGATATTGAGTAGCCTAATTATTTATTAATGTTTTCATTAGATGCCAACTTTGCATCAACACATCAGCGAGTTTGGATAAATAGTTAAACAGTCAAAAATGTAAGACAAAATGTAAGCGAAAACAACCAGTTTACTGATTAGATTCTTGTATTTAAGTTGTGTATAAAAAGCAGTTATGGGTCAGAAAAAATATATTAAAATGGTTTAACAGAAATGTTTTAGTCCGCATTGTGTTGTTTATTTTTGCGGATTTACTCAACAGTAAAAGCCTAGGTCCAGATGTCTTCAGGAGGCGGAGCTTCTAGGTTTGACCGGGTGAGGGAGTACCCAATCTATGACCAGGTCCCTGTGGGTTCCTTATGGAGGGACCAGGACTTCCCTCCGCCCCCCGTTGCCTTCACACGGTCCACTCCCTGCTGTCAGCTTAGACCCCCTCCCCCCTCCCCCTCTACCTGATGATCCAGCTATAGGTCCTGACTCCTTCTATCCCCCCAGTGATGGCAAGCCGGCTGAGGGTGACATCGATGCCATGGACATCAAGCCTGTCCGCCGCTTCATCCCCGACTCTGTCAAGAACTTCTTCCGTGGAAACAGTGGGAACAGCGCCAGCAAGGGCTGGACCATCCCCCCTTCAGCTGCTCCTGACTCCCCGGCCCCTTCCTCCAGGAACAGCGCCCCCTGTAAAACAACATCAGGAGTCCCCTGCTCCCCTCCCCACTCCGCGCCGCCCTCTCCATCCCTCCCTGGCTCCTTCAGGGACCCGTTCGGCGGCTCTGGAGGCAGCTACACCTCCCAGAAGGAGCGGGACGGGCTGCTTCTGGGAGCCGAGGCAATCGAGTCTGCCTCCGCCGTTCCCACTAACCTGTCAGCCCTCACCTACCAGGAGAGGGTGGAGGAGTACCACTTGCGCTATGCCTACATGAAGTCATGGGCGGGGCTTCTGAGGATCCTGGGCTGCGTGCAGCTGCTCTTGGGGGCCGCTGTGTTTGCCTGCGTCTGTGCCTACATTCATAAGGACAATGAGTGGTTCAATATGTTCGGCTACTCTCAGCCCCAGCTGTTTGGAGGACTGGGTGGAGGAGCTGGAGCATATGGATCCGGTGGCGGGCAGTACACAGGCCCTAAGACTCCATTTGTGCTGGTGGTGGCTGGTCTGGCGTGGATTGTAACCGTCATCCTGGTAGTTCTGGGGATGAGCATGTACTACAGAGCCATCCTGCTGGACTCGTCCTGGTGGCCGTTCACAGAGTGCTCCATCAACCTGGTGTTGGCAGTGCTCTACCTGTCTGCAGGGATTGTTTATGTGAGGGACACCACCCGAGGGGGGCTCTGTTACATGCCCGTCTTCAATAACGGAGTTAACGGAGCGTTCTGTCGCACTGAGGCTGGGCAGACGGCGGCCATCGTCTTCATCTTCATCACCATGGTGCTGTACTTCATCAGTGCAGGCGTGTGTCTTAAGCTGTGGAGGCACGAGGCGTCCAGGATGAGGAAGGAGGCGCTCGCACAGGAGGTCTGAAACAAACACTTCTTTCTTTTTATACCTCAGGGGACCCTAAAAGATTATGCATTCTTTAACTCCGACCTTTTCTGGAAGGGGAACTCTGGTATTTTTTAAACCTTCCCTATTTTAGCCCTATTTTTACATTTAAAGTTGATGAAAGTTTTGGAATAGCTCCAGTTGATTGCTTCAGCCAGCAGCAGAGAAAAAGGCGGTTATGATCAGGGACGGTTGGTAAAATGAGCTAGCAGGGATAAGCAGATTTTTTTTACATTTTGGTGAAATCTTGATAGCAACCAAACCTAATAGTTACAAGAAAGATGCATAAAGATCAGGCAAATTAATCCGCTGGTGCATCTAAAGTCAATGACCTTCACTAAACATTCTTTTTTCCATTACAAAACTGATTACATCATGAAGCATCACATCATGGTCGTGAGTCAACATTTTAGTTCATTCTAGATTTCACCCGCAGAATGAAAACCAAAAATAAACCTGCTCCACCTGTCTGCCGCTTCACTCTGTAACTCCAGTGATGTGTTGAAGCACAAAAGTGGCTAAAATAGATCGGATCGGTCAGCAACACAGATTCAGAGGTATTCATGAATATGCCTTGAGAGATTCGTGACGACCGTTCTTGGCCATCAGTTGTCAGTCAGAAATTCTTGCAGAAGTAAATTTATTCTGCAGCTTCAGTCTCCATTTAATGAAAGAAAACAGTTCCTGGTCTTTAGGGAAAGTTCCTTGCTTGATAAATGATTGATTCATAAATAACTGAATAGTTTTCTGATCATTTAATTATAATCAACCTTTCCTCATCTTTTGTTCTTCTCAACAGATGAACACTATCGGATCGTCGGTCCCTCTGTCCATAGTAAGTATCACTTTAAAACGTTACTGCAGACCGAGGTTGTCAACATTACATTTGGATTCCACGTGTTTTAAAATAATACAGTCTCTGTTATTTAAATGATAGTATCAGAAACTACAAAATAATTAAAAGAAATCTTCAGTTGTGTTTTTAACCAAAAGCTGCTGCAGAGAGCGCACTTCGAAGTGTTGCCACATATTTGTGCAATTAAGACAGTCTGGAATGTTTGGTAATTGAAATGACCTAATATTGAGTGTCTTGTACTTCTGTTGATGTGGTATCCAAACAAGCATCGATATCGTTTGATGTTTGCTAGTATCATATCAAAGTTTATAATTCTGTCCTCCTGACAAACCTACTGCAGACATTAAATGTAATAGTGTGTACACGAGCTGAGATCATGACTCTGTTTTTGTCTAACACAGCTGGGTCCAGGCTCCAGGTTCTCAGAGCGGACCCCCCTCCCCACAATCCAGCCCGACATCATGGACGACGCTAACAGCTCTATAGCCGTTCCCCTGATGGCGCCAGAGATCCTCCGAGGTCACATCCCCGCTGGTCACATCCCCAAACCTGTCGTCATAGCCGACTATGTGGAGTGAGTGTTACCTTATAACCCCTTACATTAACATAAAGTCCCTTTATTTTAGATCCCAATAGTGCTGTCCGACTTCAAGATGAAAAAAACTTTATTGTGCTGGTTAGCATGTAGGTGTATTGTGCATCTGTTACAATCTTACAAACACATTTCATTGTAACTTTGATGGCCACAGTCAAGCTTTGTCAGGTCTGTCCTCAAGAGGAGAAAACAACTTACTTACTCATAATGGTTGTTTGTTGAATGGAGGTGAGGTCGGTCATTTCTGATGCGTTTAAGGTAGTCAGGAAATCTAAACCCTGATAAGCTTTCGTGACACGGCATCAACGAGATTTGTCTGTCAAGTTGAAATGTTTGATCTAGAAAAGATCGTTAGCAGCACTTGTATGCCGATATTGTACAGCTCAGACTACAAATGTAAACCAGAGCACTTCCCATGCTGAAGATCCAGATACCTGATTACAGATTCTACATTTTTATGTAGATAGAGATTGTAAAATAATCTACAAATGCCCCGTATGAACAGGAAGAATCATAACAGCAAGAAGAATCTTTGACTATTGTTTTTAGACTAACACTGGGTCAAGCCCCTTATATGGAGGCTGTAGTTCTTCAAACGTGCGGCCTGGGTTTGAGTCCGACCATGTGGCTACTTTCTCTCATGTCATTCCCGACTCTCTCTCCCCGATTTCCACTATATCTACTCTCCTATCCAAAAAATGAGCTAAAAGCCCCCAAATAAATCTTTACAAATATATATTCTCAAAAAAATGTTTGCTGATCTAAATCTTAAGAGAAGTCAGCAGCTGTCGTTTTTTTCACAGTAAGTACCGCGCCATACGCTCCGACGAGCAGAGGGACCAGTACCGAGCCGTGTTCAACGACCAGTACGCGGAGTACAAGGAGCTTCATGCCGAGGTCCAGGTTATGAGCAAGAAGTTTGAAGAGATGGACGAGATGCTGCAGAACCTCGCCGCTCAGCCCTCCAGTCAGATGGTACGACTGTTATAAACAGAAACACACGTATACGCGCGCGCACACACACACACACACACACACACACACACACACACACACACACACACACACACACACACACACACACACACACACACACACACACACACACACACACACACACACACACACACACACACATGGAAACATTAACTCAGTCCTCTAACATGCTAACTTTGTTTCAGGAGAAGGAGCGGATTAAAGGCCTTTTTATGGAATATCAAAGAAAGAAAGCTGTAAGTATATCTTCATATTATCTGGTTTTATCTGATTTTTAAGAGGTTATTTCTGTCCATGCTCCTGTTAAGGTCTCACTGTGTTTCTATTTATCCCTTTGCAGCCTCAGCGTAACAAAAATCTTTTTTTTTACAACACTCCCACCCCTTTTATTTCATACTTTTTTCATAATTTTAGGATGTTATAGTTGTTTTCTATTGCATTAACATATACAGAGGGACCTGCATTAGACAGGCAGTTTGACCGTTGCATGGGTCACCTCATCTTGCATCTTATATTTGACCTTTTTTGGCTTTTATTGCTTAGTTAACGACGACAGAGAAGCCTCAAACATGCATACATAACCAGATTTAAATATAATGAATATAACAAGAGCTAAATCATAATACCGAACAATTCCTTTACAAACAAAATACTAATACCTACTAAAAAATACTAAAAATAGAATTAAAAAAACTATTAACACAACTAACACAAAAACTGCTTATCTTAATATATAAAACAATAATCCTCCTCATCACGACTAAACAAGTTTATAAAATCATATTAGTGTTAAAGAAAAGGAAGTTCTCTGTGCTTTTATTAACGAGTGAGACACTCTTAAAGAATGTGAGCATGCCATCATCCACCTGCTGAAACTAACTGTGATGAAACCACATGGTTAAATAAACACTACCTGTTCTTTTAATACCTCACCAGTTTCACTAAACATAAACTATGGGAATTATTGAAGGTCACATATTATACTCAGAGCTCCCCAAAACATGTCTGTGAAGTTTCTTATAATTCCACTCTGATCCTGTATTTGACCATGTCTATAAACCCCTCTATTTCAGCCCTGATCAGAACAGGCTGTTTCTGTGTCTGTACCTTTTAAATGTAAATGAGCTGTGCTGACCACGCCTCTCTCTGGAAGGGGATTGCAAGGTAGACCCTACAAGGCAGAATAAACACCTAGCTGTGGGAGTGTGACCCACCTGGGGGAGGGATTACTGCCCTTTGTGATGTCATGAAAGGAAAATCCCCAATCCGCCTGTGGAAAATTTCAGTCACTAGGTAAAATATAACTTGTTCCTGTTTTTCTTGTCAGGATCCAACATATCTGGAGAAAAGGGAAAGGTGTGAGTACCTGAAGAGCAAACTGTCTCATATCAAACAGAAGATTCAGGAGTACAACAAGGTCGCAGACTGGGACGACAACAACTGAACAATACTACAGTTTAACATAACACGTTTTAATTTCATATGCAGCTACACAACGTGCTCTGATTGGTAGAGAGCATGAAATGGGACTGAAAGAGAGGAAGTCTCTACCAGACAAACCGAGCCTTCCTTTATGGAAACCCATACTCGCTGATTGTTGATATGTTGATATTTTATCCAAACAGATGGACACACCAGATAATTATTCTCACAGTTAGTAAGTACTCTCATCAGTAAACTTCAGATAGCTGTTGTAGATAAAGTGATATCTAGATAAATGTCAATGTAAGGTGTTCATAATGTGTCCTATTGCATGCCCTGTTCATATCACTGTTCATATGAAGACGACTTCAGCAGAGCTACTGGTGGAACCATGGTATTGACATCTTGCCCCTTCCTGTTACAAAGTTGAACTTCCTGATAAAAGGTCAAAGGTTCCTCAGGTGGGTTCAGTTCACAGCGGAACACATTCTTAAAATTAATTGGCTCTTGTGTTATTGTTATACGTTTCCTCTAATCACTCCTCTCTTCTCTGATAATTGTTGTGTTAAAACAAACTCCTCCCATGCTTTTTGGTCTATTTGACTCTACATGTGACATGAATTTACTAAAAGAACATCATGCTGGGTTGAAGAAGACCATAAAACTATAAACTCGTTCGGAAAATGTTTACCGAGGGAAAGAAATGCATATTTAAGACATTTCTGCATAGCTTCACTTTTCAGTCCTGGAGGCTACGTCCATATCTTATGTACAGTCTATAGTGAATCAAATCAGTGAGATGATGTAAATGAATGATAATGAAGCCTGCATGATCAGAGCAGCGGCTCTGCAGCAGACAGAGGTGTCAGTAGATTTTGAGATGAACTTGTTTGTGTTGCACTGTGGACGTTCAGCTGGTTGCTTTAGTTTCACTATCAGCTGTTTACATTTTTTTTTTAATCTATGTGATACAATGTGAATATTTACTGAGATTATAATCTCTGTCATGATGATATTGAAATCATGTTTTACAAATGGGTGTTTTAATCTATGTTTTAGACCCCCTTTTTATACACTCTTTTTTTTGTACATTGATTTTGTGATTGTTTTGTATCATATCTTGTAAGTCCTGATGATTTATGACAATGAAGCACATTTTATACAGACTACTAGTACTTTGCTTTTTTAAATTATTTTTAGCCATAACGCTAATGAACTTTTTGACTTTTGTGCCCCATGAAAAGGTCTCACACTGGGCCCCTCCACCAAAGTCTCAGCCAACCCTGAGATGTAACTTAAACCACACCCCTGAAGTTTCCATTAAGATATTTAAATTAATGTTGATCCTCCTTCTTTTCTCCTTGATACCACACACAACGATAAAATCATTTAATTTAATGACCCACACAATTTAAAAGTACTGAAGCTTGGAAAAAAAAGGTAGGTATTTTATATGAAAGGTGAGTGAGGTGCACAATATCTCAACTGTGTAAATACATCAGCAACATTTCATTACTGAAACTTAGTTGTTTTTTGTACATTGGTATCAAATCATGATCAGTCATAAAAAGAGAAGAGACAGAGATTGTATCCAAGTTGTAACCAAAATGTTGTTACGGTAAAATCACAAAGGTTAGACAAGAATTTAAAGATGATTCAATGGACTCCTTCATGCAGGCAAAATAAATTAAAAAAAACACTGGAGCACAGAAATCATTAAATAAGTAAGGACCACAATTCACCTATGTCTTCCTCAGAGACGACTTTTAAACACCCTAATGTCCTTCTCTGAACACCGACCTCCATCTGTGGACAGGCTGAAGCACAAGAGAGTCTTGCTACTTTATTATACAAGTATTGTTGATATTTTTTTTATTTTATCTTCTAATTTCTTCAACTACAAAAAAAGAGTTTACCATAACAACTGAACATCAACACAGATGGAAACTTTTCACAGATTATTCTTGTTTCTCAAAGAAAATGACGAGGGGGAATTCAGGGAAATCAGGACGATGTATTTTGTTTCCATCTTGTGTTCTCACCATTCATTTTTAAACGCAGTCCAACACATGATGCAATTCTGTAACCCTGCAGATGTTACTGATCCATTTCAAGAAAAATGAAGGTTTTACCATATTCCAAGGAGGAATGGCTCACATTTTAATGTGGTCTAACTGCTCTAAAACATTTTTTTTTGTAACATGAGTGATTAAGACTACTGTGAGTATATATATTTTTTTAAATTTCATACATTTGCTTTATTTAAAGGTGCACTAAAGTTGGAGAAGTGAAACAATTATATGCTATATTTTATGAACTAAATACACAAACTTTACTCAAAGGAAAAAATGGCTCCCTGAACACTGTTTGGAGCTAAAAAAGCGACCAGGAGAGTTACGGTTTCACTGTTGCGGACCCCCCATCATAACGTCTCACATAGCGTTTTATCTTCTAACAGTGTTACAGGGACATATTTTCCTCTGAGGACAGTTTGTGTATAGAGTTAAATGAGCATGTACCACAGAATATGTACACTTATCCAATTTTCACATTTCGCTACCAAAACTACACAGTGCACCTTTAAGTTTAAATTCTGCTTTAAATCTAATTTTATTGAACCCATTTTATTGACATAAGGCTAGATTAGTGTATTAGTGTAAAATGGACAAGCAGGATTTGAACAGGTCTTTTTTTGGTAGCTGGTCAACGAGTTAAGGGAAACACCTAATCCAGCTTGTCCATGAACATTTCGATTAGTGGTCTGCACTCGATAAGAAACTGTTCATTTGGAGCACACAAAGCATTCATAAAGATTTCACATCTTCTTTAGCCTGATTAAAAAATAAAGCTAATGAAACAATCATAAAGAGTTTGACATCTTAGCAAATGTAGTAACCTTAATCTGAAAACTATCAAATGCTCCTGTTATTCTCCTCACCTCATGAAGTACAGGGTCCTGTTTTATAATTGCCCCACCCACCTACGTGATGTCACACCAATGAAAGCGTAATTTCCATAATGTGGTATCACAGTTAGGGATCAAAAAACATTTCATTTTCTTTCATCAGGTAAGTAGTATTTTTGTTAAGTGTCCCATTCAACCTGATGTCCCCATCACTCTGAATTTCCCTACCTTTGTTAGAGTGGGAAACCAATGTCTGAAATCTTGTCTTATTCCACTTTTTTGATTTAAATTCATTTTGAGTTTAAACTCTTTTTTCCAGAATAAGACTGTTTTACTGCCAAGAAAGTTTAATAAAATATAAAATGATGACATATTGATGTTAAATAAGACAGAGTAAAATATAACAGCTTGGTGCTGCAGCTCTGTGTCACTACACACCTGTGCCCGCCTCTAAGATAGCTGCTGTTGTTCCTGCGTCTTGTACCTGTGCAGGTTCTCAGCCTGGAGGACAGGTTTTACTGAGCTTGGGTGTGTTTGTTTCTCTTTTTTCAGGTGTCAGGTTTTGCTGCACTGGAGGCGTTTTCCTGTTAATCTTATTCTCAGTAGACTGAAGCAGTGTGACAGCTTTTCAGGCCTCAGGTTACATCGGAACAGAGCAAAACTGTAAAAAAGAAAAGAAAAATACTTTGAATTGAAATAATAAAAAAATAGAAAATCAGATATTTTTAAGATTTAACAAATTGTCATTAATCCAGAAAATCAGGGCTGTTTTGTTCTGAATTACACCTTTCTCAATAATTTGGAAAAACAGCAGATTTTTACATTTTCTCAATTGAATGCTTTTGTATGTGCTATTGTGTACATGATTTAGTTTGTAAAATAGTTCAGTCACTTTCAGATGGGTTCCTTAAACCTAACAGTCATAATAAAATTCAGATCATTATTTAAATGATCTCAAAACTAATTTCATCAACTAAAAATATTAATAAAGTGCGATGAAAGAGCTTCTGACCTGCAAAATGTTGTATTATAAATCACATAAAGAAATACTTCTACAGAGAAAAACATCAATAAGTCTTAAATACATCTAAAGATCAGCTCAATAGAAAATAAAAATAAAGAGGTATAAACGTATCATAAAAGAAAAAAAACCTTTGTCCCAATATTATTTATATATTATATAAATGCGTCATCACCATAAGCCTATAGCCTGTTAAACGTGTTAACAAAACACTTTGGTTAGTATGTTATGATAATGGAACTACTCTTTATAGGATTTTATCAAGTTAAAATAATTAAAATGATTAAAATAATTCAGAAAATTCTGACAAGAAGCACAATACAAGAAAGTAAGTCTATCAAATGAACACGTCTTAAGACATCCAACTAAGGTAATGGAATTAAAACACCTTTTTCATGAATTTAGATCAATCCAAACGCACTGATTTGACACCTTATGTAATATTAATACTGTCCATCCCTCACAGAAACATGACAGGTTTCTGTGAGAGACAGGTTCGTCCTGTATGACCTGAGAAGGAGGAGGAGGAAGAAGAGGAGACCACGTGACGCGCACACACCTGTAGGCGCGTCTCTTTGTACTACCTGAGCGGTCGCGCGCTCAGTGTGTTGTTTGCGTTCATCACTGCGGATCCTCTGTCTCATTTTGTCCGGATAACACTGTTCATCATACGAGGTGAGTCCATTTAAAAAACCTATTTAAACCGCGTTAAACCCGCAATTTGAGGGTGTGACGTTTAAAAAAAGGACAAAGTAACTTTACCTGCACGTGTTTATCTACCTTAAAATCTGTCGAAGAACACCTGGGTTTACAAAATATCCCCTCCATGTATAAGGAAACACTTTGTCTGAAATTAGCTTGAGAGTGAGCATGTTTGGTCCATAAATGTATTTGTTAGCGGTTCATTTGTATTATCTCGTATTTACTTTAACGCAGCTAAAATGTAGCCTATCTTATGCGTTATTTGAAATGTGAATTATTTAGTTTGTGTCCTCTCTCAAACTGTTGGCTACTTGATGTGAATAAGCGGCTAGCTGTCTGTTGAGGCTCTGTATGAAGACTAATTGAATTAAATTCCCTCCTGCGCGGTGGACTGCGGAGTCACTAGTTTCAGGGTGAAACCAGCTAACCCTGCTCTCTCTGTGACTTATCAGCTGATCATGTTTGAAACAGACAGACTCGGTATGTGTGCCAGTATCTCTCCACCCATTACCTGATGCTTTGTTTTACCACAAACACACCTGAAGACCAAACAGCAGCAGGTTCACCTCAGCAGGAGGCTATTAGGACTTGAATCAAACCAGCTGTCCATCATAGTTGAAGTTAGAAAGTCAAAGATATATGGAGATTATCACAACATCACACATGTTCTCCAGTTTGAATGTCTCCCTGTATCCTCTGAGCAGTCTCTGGTTTACCTTGACATCAGAAGAGTTATGAAACCACCATGTTTGATATCCACACAAACACACTGTTTCCATAGAATATGAAGTAGGCTACCACTTACACCTGAAGCAACACTGCAAGAAGTCAAATCTGAGCAAGTGTATTTGTCTAACTTCTGACTAAAAATATCTAATTGCACCAAATATAAGCTGCATGTACCACAAGTCCAGATGAACCTCTTATTTTGATATCTAAACTAAAACTAATTCAGGTTAGTAAAACTTGTATTTTGCTTTTTACATTTGGAAATACCTTAAAACTTAAAATAAAAGTCCATCCTAAATTAAGGCCTATTGTCTCTTTTTGCAGCCTGGTGTTGCTGCACATTTTGACATATAACAGCCTCAATTAGAGGCACCTATAAATGTAGTGTTGAAATAGTTTGTGGATCAAAACTGAGAAAAAGCAGCAAGGAACAGAAGTATTTGAAGTGGGAAATAGTCTTTCTCATTCTTGCTCTGTATGAATGTTGTTTGAAAATAAGTAAGAGCCGTTTCGCATTGGCGCCTCTCCCAAATCAAGGCAGGGTCATTTCATAGACTGAAGTAAAAATGGCCCAGGCTTTTAATAGTTTATTTACAGCAAGATGTATGTCTGGACTTGAATGTGGCTTAAAATAAGTGTAATGAGATATTTTTCACTAGAAGTTAGACTAATAAACTTCTAAGATTCTAGTTTATGTTACAAAATAAAGATTAATACACCTAAGTTTGGAAGTTTGACAAAATATTCCTTCATCTGAAATCTGTTTAAATTGTATTTTCTGTGACATTCATTAACTTATCAAAGGTTTTGAATTATCTTCACATTTTCTTGTCTTATCAACTTATCACCCTGATTGATACATTTAAAAATCTTATATACCTTTTTATTTACTTTTTTATTTTAATTTGTAATGATTGACTTTATTGTTATCTAATTCTAGATGTGACACGTATCACAATGCTGGATTCACGATACGATTTCACAGGATTGTTTTATTTTTAAAAAGACATCAGAATAAAGTCAATTTAAAAGTCAAGTAAAAAAATAAACTTGTATTGCAATATATTTTTTTGTTTTCGAATTGGTCATACTTTGTATTGATTTTAAATTTAATTGCGAGGTATCGTTACATAGATCACCTTCATCAGTCAGTTTGAGTGTGAATTGAATTTAATCCTGCCCATTGGGTTAGAAATATTCCAACAGGTTCGGGATGCTGCACTGATTATAGAAATGATACACGTTATATAAATGCTAAACTAAGTTGGATAAGAAATGCTAACCAGCTGTTTCATGTTTACATTTTCTTCTGTGGTCTCAAAAAAAGATTACAAATTCATGTTCTCAGAAATGTAATGTTCTGTGTTTGAAAAATGTAGACAGTTCGCAGGAGTGTTCCTGCTTTTTTTTGTTAATTCCAAGAAATGAATCAGTATTGGGTGCACATGACTTCCAATTTTGTTGCTGTGGTATCAAAACAGATATCAATATTGTTTGATTGTTATTGGAAATCATATCAACGTTTACAAATCTGGTATTGTTACTTACTTTTTACATTGTACTGATATTGAAAGATATAAGATACCGATAATTTAAAAATGTTTTTCAGGACTAACATTTGTGTGTGTTTGTTTTATTTTGCAGATAAAGTTCCAGTTTCATGTCATCATGCCTAGAAACTCCCAACCCTACAGGTCGAGTGGCGGCAAACAGTACGTCCATTTTTCTTTCTCTTATTAACTGTTCCCTCGTGTCTCTTGTGTTTATCAGACAAAAACATCAAACCTCAGATCTCAGTGGGATACTTCATCAACAGAATGTTTATCTGTTACTCATTCGATAACTAGTGTTTCATTGTTTTAATGCAGCATGACATCACACGTTTTCCTGTGATAACGACTTAGTTTCAGTCGTTTTCTGGAGATTTCAAAAAAAGTATTTTTGTTATCACGGGAAAAATTGAGTCACATAATATGTTTGGATGCTAGTCCCTCAATTAAACAACTTTTATACTCGAGGGGAGGAGTCAGCCGGCCGTCCTGGCAATGTAAACAAACTTTAGATAGGACTCTGAAAACTCTGAAAACATCACAGACAGTGGGACTCGGGTGTTACACCCATTGTAGACAGTCATGACTCACAGAGTTATTTTCAGAGGATATACTTGATTTATATTATATTTAAGTGTGAAAAATCACATATAAAGCCTTTAAGGGCTTCGGTAATATTCTGCAAAGAAAACAGCCAAATAATAATAATTTATTTGGAATATATTTGTGTCACTTAATAAAGGTTCACTTAATCTATTCTTCTTCTCTCCTCCTTGTCCTTGCCTCCTCTCTTCTCCTCCTCAGTCACAGCAGCAGACACCGACACAGCGAGTTCATGTCTAACCCCGCCTTCTCCTACTACCCTGGAGAGAATCTTTTGCACTACTACCGCTGGACGTCTCCCCCTGGCGTGATGAAGATACTGTGCATTATCATCATCATCATGTGTGTGGCTGTGTTTGCGTGTGTGGCCTCCACGCTTGCCTGGGATTATGACATGGGCCTGATGGGTCTTGGTGGCGGAGGCAGTCTGCTTCCTGGTTACGGCGGCAGCGGCTCGTATGGCAGCGGCTCTTACAGCGGCACTTATGGCGGTTCGTACGGCAGTTCGTACGGCGGGTCTGGAGGTGGTTCTGGTTATGGTTACGGAGGATCACAGGTCGATCCAAAGACTGGAAAAGGTTTCATTATCGCCATCACCGGCATCATCTTCATTGCCGTGCTCATCATCTTCGTCTTGGTCGTTTCCAAGCAAAATTCTGCCCAGTCACCAAAGTTCTACCTAGCCGCCATTGTGATCTGTGCCATCCTGGCGTTTCTCATGCTCATTGCCACCATCGTGTACCTGGTGGCCGTGAACCCGACCGCTCAGTCCACAGGCACCAACTACTACAACCCGATGATCCAGATGTGTGCCCAGTTCCAGAGCCAGACCCAGGCCCAGGCCCAGGCCCAGGCCCAGGGCAACTTCTTCAACAAGTACCTGTACCACTACTGCGTGGTCGAGCCACAGGAGGTACGACATGCCGTTTTATCTTTTGGTGCTGATGGTTTTAGTTGAAGAGTTAGGCTGCATAAACTAAAAAGCTTTTCTACACATGAACCAATAAGAATTCAAGAACATTTCAGCCTTGTTCAAATTTCAGCTCCGTGTCCCAAGTCCTAACAAACATCTCTAAAACATTAATATGTCCTGTTTTTAACCAACAGAAATACCAAAACAATACACCATGCTTGCAACACTGATTCCTCAATCAATGACAAGGCTGTTTCTCTTTTAACCAATAGAAAAAACATCACTTATGCACCACCAGTAATAGGTCAACACTGTTGTATGTGTCAATCAATCTCAGGGTTTAGGCTGTTGCTTAGCTAGCCCAGCTAATCATACTAACAGGACTGGCTGCGTAACGACAGGTAGGGTAGCTGTCAGAGGAGGGGTTTCAGGAGGCAAGACATGTCATATAAAGAACAACATGGGAATGGCAGACAATGCACCTGAGACAGATGCTATATTGACCATTTTAACCTTTGTATCAATGCTACATGTCATTCATATTCACGGTTTAAACAAAAGAGAGGAGAAGAACCTACCAAAGCAGTTTCATTACACAGTAATTACTTCAGCTCTCTGGCCATGCAAGTTTTTTTATAGAGCACCATTCATACATAAAGAATTCAAAGTGCTTCAGAGAGTTCAAAACAAAACGTTTATTACACTATGTACATTCAAAGACAAATTACTGCGCAAATTAAGACCTTGAGCTAAAAACACAATTTATCAGATTAATAAGAAATGAAGAACACTATTAAAAACACTTCTTTTTCCTTTACCCTTGCCATCAATTGTATTCAGAAGCCCAAAAAATGAAGTAAAGAAACAAAAAGATGTGAGAGATGTTGGTGGGCAGCTAACCCCAAATGAATTGTAGTGAAAACACTTCAGCATTATAGTGCTCTGAAGTCACTGACCACACATTCATATTCATCCTGCAACGTAGTAATATTGGTGTCCCAGTCTGTGAATTCTGCGTTTCAGCATTGTGGAAACACGACACAGCGGGCGCTGCACATAGACACAGTCAGACATGCACGCACACACAACGCTACGCTCCCCCTCTGGCCGTCTAGCCTCTGTAACGCTTCTGTTACCTCTGAAAAATAGGATTTGGTTTAACAATCCCCCCCAGAATGCCTTCATCTGATCACTCAAACACCTCGACCTCTTTTTATACTTTAAGTTTGATTAATTTCATCCGACTGATGTTGAATCCTGCTCTCCCCTCAGGCCGTAGCCATCGTCCTGGGCTTCCTGGTGTTTGTGGCTCTCATCATCTTGCTGGTGTTCGCAGTGAAAACTCGCAACCAAATCAGGCGCTACGGCCGGGAACGCGTCCTGTGGGAGGAGGTGAAGGTCATCAGTTCAGTTCCACACAACAGCATCGGAGAGTGGGTGAGTGTGTGTGTGTTTTAATTTGTGTGGCAGTATCTGTGTTTGCTTCAGGTATAAACACTGGATTAAGTAAATGCACCTTCAAAGTCTGACAGTTTGAAGAACGATGGACAGAATGTAAATCCACATATTGTCGTAAACTGGGTCAGTCTTTACAAACACTTGCTGTGGAGTGCTTTTCAGCCCCTGAATTGTAATTTAATTTATAATTCTACTCTTAAGATCACAAAACTTCCAAAGTCTCTGCAGTGTTTCCCACACATTAGATGATAATCGGGCACAGTATATCACTATATCGGTATACAGTATATCTGCGAAAGACAGCGAGAGGGATGTCCACTGGTACGTCCCTCCCATACATGCATCAAGTAAGGTACAACATCATATGTTAAAACTGAAGCATCTTCTGCAATTGTTCATATGTTTTTTTGCACCTGCTTGCTGTGGATGTTAGTCAGCACTCATAGTTTAGGATGTTTGTTGTGCTGCGCCACGTCATCAACAATAAGACACATACAGATCACCTGATTTGACAAGAGAATATAGAGCTAAACTTTTCAAATAGCAGCTGATGTTATTTTAGTGTTATTGTAACATGCTGCTGATAAAAATTGTCATAGGAGTAGAGACCCAAAATAATAAAGCTAGGAAGAGAGGAGAGGTGCAGGTGTGTTTCTGTGTTTAAATACAAGAGTGAAAGGGAAGCAAGATGACCAGATTTAATTAATTTGACACACTCTTAAATTAAACAGAAAATAAAGCCAAATTAAAATGTACCGTATTTTCCGCACTATAAGGCGCACCGGATTATAAGGCGCACCTTCAATGAATGGCCTATTTTAGAACTGTTTTCATATATAGGGCGCACCGGATTATAAGGCGCATAGAATAGAACGTGTTTACAACTGAACAAGGCTGGGAGATATTGTGAATATATAAATATAAATACGTATAAAACTACAAAAACAAAAGTACATAAGACGATTTCCCCAAATAATAAATTATTTCTTTGACGTTTCTCTTAACTCTCAAAACGTAGTTTTATACGTAGTGCATTCACAATAACTCAACGTTGTTCAAACGTTAATGTGCATATTCACAATATCTCCCAGCCTTGTTCAGTTGTAAACACGTAAAAGAAACACAGTCTGATACCGCTAATTCAAACGTTAGTGCAGGGGTGCCCAAACAGTCGATCGCGATCAACAGGTAGATCGCTGACTCATTCTCAGTCGATCGCGAGATGTTTTGTCAATATAAAATACAATTGTAAAATAGAAAAGTGATTTCAATTTCATCTCATTGCACTGTTTCCCACACACGATACCTGTGTTGGGAGCCCAAGTATACTTCCGACCTGTGTGTATTTAATTTTTCATTTATTCATGAAATTGCTGCGTGCATGAGAGAGCGAGCGAGAGAGCGAGCGGGGGAGCGAGAGAGAGAGAGAGAGAGAGAGCGCGCGCGCAAGAGAGAGTGCAGGCATGCGCAATGACGTGCAGGTAAAACCGGGGGGGAAATGTTTTACCAAAAAGTCATATATAGAAACTATGCTACGAGTATTAAGAGCATTTGATGAAGCTGCAGCTACTTTTCTCTGCTCCTCTCTGCTGTCATGACTGTGAGCATCGCGGGGGACGAGACACACCAACAAACAGCGCAAACGCAAACGCACACGCACACGCACACGCACACGCACACGCACACACACACACACACACACACTTGCACTGGAGCGCCAGCCACCACGCGAACCTTTTTACTTTTTACTTTTAGTGCTACAGCACACAGTTGATCCGTGATCCGTACGGACCGAGGTGGGAACACACGTGACCCGGTCAAACGGTCGGTTGGACTTTACTCCGTTCACTCTCACCGTGTCTGCAGCTAATTTAACAAAAGCAAAATCATCTCACAGCAGCCTGCTGTAGTCTGTAGTCTGCATTATTTTTTACAGAACTCTCATTTATTATTTTCTGTTTGTTGTGTGAGTATTAAATGCGTTTGTAGGCTGTTGGTAAAGGCTATGGCTCACTATGTGGACTGGTAGATCTCGGCAGACTGGTAACTTTAAAAGTAGATCTTGGTTCAAAAAAGGTTGGGCACCCCTGCGTTAGTGCATAACTCAACATTGTTCAGTTACGTATAACACGTAAAGCTCACTTTTTCAGTTCATTCCCCGTCCACGAATCCCTCGAATTCTTCTTCTTCAGTGTCCGAATTGAACAGTTGGGCGAGTACGGCATCCAACATGCCCGGCTCCCTCTCGTCATTATCCGAGTCAGTGTCGCTGAGCGCCGTGTACAACCAGTATGGATCAACCAATTTACCAATTGATCCATATATAAGGCGCTCCGGATTATAAGGCGCACTGTCGTTTTTTGAGAAAATTAAAGGCTTTTAAGTGCGCCTTATAGTGCGGAAAATACGGTATTTAAAGTTAACATTTAACCATACCTAATAAAATTAGATTAAACTTCAGTTTTTTTTTGGCCCATTATTTGTCTCTTTGGTGTGTTGTTATATTCTGGGTAAAAACGTTGTGCTTTTTGATCTATGGGACAAAAATGTTTTTGTAAGAAAACTCAAAGACCTCCATACAGCCTTGAAGTACACAAAGGAATGATGATGTACAAATACAGTTATTTTTCTCAGAAAACAAATATGCAAAAGAACAAAAGCAACCTGAAGAAGATGCGGAAACAACATGAGCTATTAGCTTAGGCAGAGGAGGAAGATATAGGTGTGTGTGTGTGTGTGTGCGCGTGTGCGCGTGTGCGCGTGCCTTTGTCAGGTGAGGAGGGTTTCATTTGTAGTTTCTGGGTGTGGTTTTTTTCACTCACTCTCAGTTGCACTGTGTTTGTTGTGCTGTCATGATGATGTGTTAAAATATCTTAACAATGCTGAAGCCCTAGAGAGTTCATTTACAACAGAAGATAAAAGTGTTTTCCAGTGAAAGCATTGATGTGTGTGTATGTGAGGACAGGGACACACTGTGTACGTAATGTAAGTTTTAATGTCATCTCATAGTTTCAATTCCAGCTGTGTGACATTTCCCAGCACACAGTGTTTGTGACTGAGAGACGTAACACAGGTATTCAGGCATGCAGGCAGAAGCAGACGGACCGGTCAGTCGGGAGAGAAAAACCACATACAGCTGAATGTTTATCATATGGAGAGAACAGGTTTATGAAGCGTAAAGTAGGACACGAACCAGAGCAGCCTCAGGTAAACCTGACTGAAACCGCAGGCTAGACATCTTTTTAGGAGGTAAATACAGATAAGAGCCTGAAGTCTAAAAGTGATGTGTTGATTGTTAATTAAGTTTATAACATATGAAGGTAAGAAGATAATAACCAACCATTGGAACATTAAAGACTGATAAAATATAGCAGGCTAATGGTCAAATGTTAAGTATTTTAAATAAAGTTTCTTCACTTTTAGTCATCAGTTTGGCTCACGCTACAAAACCAAAGGTCTTAAATTTCCCCCAGAGAGTAAGATCCTCCTCATTAAACTCTCCATGCCTATTAAATACCCATGATTTTTAACCTCAGTTTGAAATAACTGCTGTACTCGACTGCAGCTCATAAATCTCAAGAAACTACATCCTGATCAGAAAAGCTTCTCCAACATACTTTTTTGTGACCAGACAGCGCTCTTTTCTTCTTTTATTTGACTTCTGCAATCCCTCTTTTTTTCAGTTTAGTGCAACAACAAAGTCCTGCACATGAGCTTACACAAGCTTCACGTTTTACCTGTAAGACACGTGTTCATCAGAGTTTCTCATAAGAAATTCTTCTTTCCTAATCTTTCAGACGATTTCGCTGTTGTTTTTAACTATAAAATATAACCAAAGAAAGATTTTGATCAGCTAGTGAGCTAAAGTTAGACGCTCACTAGCTGATCTCGTTCTCAGTCGGCCAAAGCTCAAAAGAGTTGCTTTAAAGCAAAACAGACTGCTGCTTTATTCAGTGATTTAAATGCTTGTTTGTTTTTAAACTGGGTCTGTTTGTTTAAGAGGAGGAGAGCTCAGTAGATAAAATCTTTGTAAACCATGAACAGTCATTAAAAGTAGGGTTACAGGTTGGGTCTGTGTTCAATGATGCAGTGAAGGGAACAAACATGAAGGGATGTGGACAGAAAAAAAAAAAAGTGAGCTGATTGGGGTTGTAGACTTTTGGCTGGCAGCTCTGTGTGTGTGATAAACATCTCTTCTTCATGCCAAATCTGATGACCTATCAAAGTCGTTCTTTTAGACAATAAAAAGAGAATATATACACCTGTTTCTCATACAGAAAGATAATGAACATTAACGTGTTCTGATAATGAGTAGAGTGTCACTTGTATCTTTTCATCACTTCTATCTTCACTCTGATTAAAAACTGTTGGACCTTCTCTCTTCTCAGGTGAGTAAAGTGTCTGGTGACCCCGAGGTGCCTTTGAACGCCCCTAATCCTCATGTCGGGGGGTCCAGAGACTTTCTGAACGAGCTGGACAACAACAAACCTCTCTACCTGCCTGGGTGAGTTAAACATGAAACTCGTGATAATTTCCATAATTGAAAGTTTATTTTTGGCCTTTTATGCCTCTTTTTAGAGATAGGACAGTGGATAGACTCAGAAATCAGTGAGCAAGAGAGAGTGGGGAATTACATGCAGGAAAGGATTCACGGGTCGTATTCGAACCCAGGCTGCTTGCCTGGAGGATCACAGCCTCCCTATGTGGTGTGCACGCCCTAACCACTACGCTACCAGTGCCCCCTTTTCACTCCAACTTCATCTAGATCTTTTTTGCCAGGGTCATAGCAAAACTCACTATGATTGCAACTGGTGCAATCGTCTTGCACTAAATGAACCTGATACATTGTGTTTTCTATTGCTGGTATGTTCTTTTCCATTCATTTGTTTAAACTGTAAATATCCAATTACACGTAGCCCTGACATAAAGACAAAAAACGTTTGTGAAAGCATCAGATTCTTTCTTGGTCAAATATTTTGGTGCATCCTTTTTATGTCATGTGCTGCCCCCCCCCCCCACCTCCCACCTGCTGTGGAGGACATGTGTGAAAGAGCAACTCAAGCTGTTTTCACATATGCACTCCTGAAACTTTCTAGAACATTTGAGCCCCATGATCTTCATGGGTTTGTTGTCCACAAATGCACATCAAAGTGGTAGTGCTATATCTGTCAGATGAAGGGGGTGGAGGTGGGAGCATGAAGCAAAAAGAACAACACAGAGGTGGCGGACAAAGCAACAGAGTACGCTATACGACGCTTTAATCAGAATATTTGCCTTCATATCAATTCTATGTGTAGTTCTTCGACAGAAAAACAATATCAACAAAGGTGCAGAGAAGTATGTGGAGAAGCAGATTAACAGACATTGATTTCTCATAAATTTTTCCTGCTATGTTTTTACATCTGCTCCTCCTGACTTCGTACGACACAATTTACTAGGGGCTCTTGACTAAATTATGACGACAAATGTGAGTCAACAACCTTTATTCCATGACAAATATGAGAGGGTGAGGATTTAAAATAGATCTTTGATAATAAAAAAAAATGACAGTATAGTTTTTCTGTCATTAGCTTTATAATGAACCTCACAAGTTTAAGGCCTGCCTTTATAAAGATGTATAAAAAGATGTTTAATGGGTTTAATCTGTAGCTCGTCTGTGCTAAAATGTGTGACAGTGGGCGTAGTAAAAGTAGCAATAACATGCACTGCAAGTCCTGCATTCATAGTATGTCAGTATTTTCATCAGCATGACGTTTGAAACTGAAATAAATGTTCCCTGTGTGTGTGTTTTAGGATTTTGTTGTGTTTTACATTTGGTCTTATTGAATTAGTTTAAAGAGAGAAAACATTTTGATTACATATAAGACTATTTGACTAAAACTGGACTACAATGTTCTGATATCGTCAACTAACACATAAAGGGTAAAAATGACTCAAATGTGACTCACACTAATAGACATGTTGGACTAAGGTAAAATCTAGCTGATAAAATGTAGACTGGTTTCTGTACAGACAATTTTAAATTTGATCATTTAAACATAGCAGGTGAGTTAGTATCTGTTAATCTGCTGCTATCAGGAGGTTTGATGTTGTGTAACTGCATGTTTACACTCTGGCTCTTCTCTAAACGGGCAAAACATAAAAAATGTGGGCTCACTTCACTGGATTTAATAAAATAGATGTAAAAAGGAGATGCCACATTCTATAATCCGAAGCAGTGCAGCGTGCAGCAACCATGTTTGTCCTCTTTGCATCTTTTAATATTTGACGAATAAAAAGATGATACCCTAACATCCAAGTCTTCTGCACCTCCCTCTCTCTGACAAAATATGAGGCAGGGAACATATTTCAGAGGCAAAGCACAACCAGGTTCAAGTATCAGGGTTTGGCTGTCAAGTTCTGACCTCTGCCAAGGAAGTGGATAGATTTTTTGCTGGGTCGGTTTGTTTACTTGGTCTTTCTTGTTCAAAAAGCATAAACATTTAAGAAGTGACACTTCAAACTTTTTTTCAAGTAATAAAATGTACCTCCATCGCGAGGATAGAGAATGATGTTGTCATATCAATTATAGCAGTGAACAAAATGTCTGCTATTGTTGTAGTCTGTCAGCAGCAGTCTTGTGCCCTCACAGACTTTACGTGATGTCAGTGAAGGCATCACAATAAGCAAAAGGAAAGTTGCAAAATCCTCTGCAGACCTGTTGGTTATGCAGGTAAACTGCAGGGAGTCCAGGAGTTTTTCTTCTGCAGGCTTTGAATTAAAATATAATCTTAAAAGCTTGATAATAATGTTTACATTTTTCTCTTTCTTGCAGAGACTCCGATATCAGCAGCTCTGTTGGCTTCCTGAAGCCCACACTGAGGGACTATGACCCCGGCATGGAGTCTGGAGACGACCTGGAGGAGGAGGACTTCAGTGTGTGAGTGAAATGAGAACGATTATTGAGCTGCGTTTTGAGACGAAAAGATGAATGGCACTGTCTTTATCTTTGACTTTGTTCTTCTTGCATTTCACTTGCGAAAGTTTTTACTTTTAGTGGACAATGTATGATGATTTTCCCGAGTTAATAGAACTCCTTTGTCACCTGCAGTTTGTATCCTTCCATTGTGGATGAACAAGAGCGTCTGAACTACAAACGCGAGTTTGATCAGGACCATCAGGAGTACAAGAGTCTGCAGGCCGAGCTGGACGGCATAAACCAGGACCTGGCAGTGCTGGACCGAGAGCTGGACCGACACACTGAGGGGAGTCCTCAGTTTCTGGTGAGTCCAACTTTCTTCAGATATCAAAACAACAGTCTGTGCTCATGAGTACTAACAGAAAAGTTAAGTTGAAAACAAAAAATGAGACAAAGTCACAGTTTTTGTCCCTGCTAATGAGTTTCTGTTATGTTTAAAATGTTGGCTAATGGACTACAAACATATCACAGTCCTTTGATTTTAGTGCCTGGGATAAAGTTCAAGAAAGAAAAACAGAACAGAAACTTTTTATAGTTTTGATAAAGACAATGCTAAAAGTTGACTACCATACCTTTTTATATAGTTAGACATATCGAAAGTGAACATTTTATCCAGTAAGAACTGCATTTTTGATATTAAGCATTCAAGCATTTGAGGTTGATGCTTTCCTGAGTGACAAATTAAAAAACTAATTTACCTTTTTTCTTAATCTCAGGATGCCATGGATGAATACACCAAACTGAAGAATCTCAAGAAGGTAGGCCTCATACATCTTATTTTATCAAGAACACCCCCCCCACCACCACCAGCTGAGTGAGCTTGCCCCTCACTCTGACATCTCTTCATTAATGCATGTACATAGGATCCTGTTTGTGCATATGTGTGTATTTCAGTCCATGTGTGTTTAGCATGTTAAATAGCTGTGTTAAATTGAATTTCTCCTCGCGAGATTAATAAAGTATATCTTCTTCTTCCCCTCCAGTCCCCACATTACGAGATTAAGAAGAAGAGGTGTAAATATCTCCGTTCCAAACTGTCGCACATCAAGAGGAAGATCAGCGAGTTCGACCGCCGACGTTGAACCCTCACCTCACACAAACCTTCAGCTTCTCTCCCCGCTGTCTGAGAAACTGTTGTTTGTTTTCTGAATCAAGCCCATCAGATGAACTGTTTTCCCTAAGAGAGGGCGTGAAGGAAGTGTGGATTCTTGTCTCTGATTAATTCTTCAGCCTCTGTGAGTTATGTGCAGAAACATGTGGGTGTAAAAATGTATTTTATTTGTTTCTCTCATGAAGTGAAGTGAGAGGTGATGTGTGATGCTTTATTTTAGTACTTTGATGAAGCGCTTTTTGTGCTTCTTTTATAGCTTTTTATAAAAAAACATGTGTGGCAGTTTCATGTTTATGAAGGCACAGCTAAGAGGAGACATGAATCTGCATTGGAAGGAAACCGACCAGCTTGTAAATAATGTTTATTTTAAGCCTTTGAAAACTGTTTCAGAACTGTTTTCTGTAAATGTGAAACCTCTCTGTCCTTTAATTGTTTCTCACTGTATATTCTTCTCATGATGGATATTGAATTCTCATCTCTCTTTTCTACATCTCTCAAAAGCAAATGAACATTTGTGTGTTAACATATTTTATTGTAAAGTTTTTCTACATATTGAGATCATACCTGTTTTTTTTTTTTGAGGATGTATATTTTGGTTTAACTGTTTTAATATGATTTGTTTTGGAGAAAGTAGGTATAAGATTTAAATAAAAACACTTAGCTGTCAGTGAGCTGCTTGTCTTGTTTTTGAAACGAGAACAAAAGAAAGAAAGTATGAATTACCTGCCTTGCTATTTATTTATAGTTTACAGGGACAGATACAATATACATGGACGACTTGAAAATAGCCTTTTAATGCAAGTGTTTATAGAGGATGCTAATTAACAAACCACTCTGTCCCTAGAAGGTCATGCGTGAATAACTGATTAAAACAAAAACAGGGCACAAAAAGATACAATAAGACACATTCAGCAGGGACATGGCAACAAAAATACAGAAATATTGATCAAGCATACAAAGCATGACTATTATCTATGAGTAATAGTGTATTTATATGTATGATTGAATTGGCTAATTTGTTAATCTGCCATTTTCAGACCTTTATTCAGGCTAACCAGGAAACCCTAGCTCAGATTAAAAATCTCAAGGCAGGCAAAAACAAAGTTTCTGACAAACAATTAGCAGCCATATGTACAAATATGATACAAAATAGATGAAGATGTTACATTCAAAGACAATAAATAATAAATATGTGTCAGATGTGTCTTCCCCCAAGTTATTTATAAAACCCTAAAGTCCTCCATTAAGTTTCAAGGCTTTTGTAATTTGTTTCATGTAAAGGGAGCAGCAAACACAATTAAGACAATATCATTTGTACAGGTTGTCATCACTGCGGTGGATGTTACCTTAACTGTGCGGATAACATTGTTAGAGAGCATGTTTCTGTCCGGAAACAAAATCCGTGGCACCAACCGGCGTTTCAGTAACCAATCACAGCACAGAAGCGCTGCACCACATCAGGTAGATGTTGTGCTTTTAATCTTCTCACTGAGACAGTTTCTAATTGTTCTTTCTCACAAGTTATCAAGATATCAACTCTATAGGTTTTAGGTAACAAAACATCGCTCCAGATAGTCTTTTTATTTAATAAATGATCTCCAATTACACTCGTCAACAGTGTTGTGGGCTAATAGTTAGCTTGTTAGCTTTCGCCAAATGAAACAATCCTGGTGTCGTTTTTAATCTACTTTATCTACCGAACGATTTAATAATATATACATTTATGTGTAGCAGATAATGATGTTTACTCACTGTACAGCCATGGGTTAGAAATCATTCGGCTCTGGAAGTGAAGCGTTATCAGAGTTTTACTTTGAAGAAATCTGTTTTGAAAGATGTTCTTGATAAACTTCATTCAGCAACTTTGACTTTTTATTTGAGACTCAACATTACGTTGTCTTCAATTCAGAATAACGACATGTTCATATGCCAATAATCAGCTATAAAGATAATAAAAAGTTCGGCCTGGACTGTTTTCTAATTATGCTTACACTTTATTTTATTTTTCTGATTAGGGACTATTTAATCCAAACACTTTTCTTTATTTACTTAGGACTCCATATTGTCTTGATTTTATGAACCATAATGACATGTAGATTATGATACTGGTCGATTTAAGTAAATGAACAATTCGGGTCAAACTATTATTCTTACATTTAAATAATGTTTCTCATATTTGACATGTGGTTTTAATTTCGACTCAGTATTACATTGAATCTTGTAAAAACAACAACATGTGCATTATGTTGTTAATTTACTCTTTAAGTCAACAAGTAATTCGGTTTATGTTATTTATATTTATACTAACACTTTTATATTTTTTCTCTGTCATGACATTCGTCCATTCAGTAACATCAGTGTTTTTTTCCACTTTGTTTTGCTTTGTTTTATTGAAGATGAAGACATATTCATTTTGATATATCAGCTGTATGGTCACCTGTAGTTGATATTAGACAATAATCTGTACATGTTTATTTCTGTGAAGACATGTACATTATTTTTCTGACTACAACGTCAACAAATAATTTGACTCTATTTATGCAAACACAAATTCATTTTTCTCTGATATGACACATGTTTACGCCAAACACTATTTAGCGATGTCAACGTTTTTTTTGGACCAGATTTTGCCTTATGTTAGAAAAATGCTGGACGTGAATATCTTGATATAAATCAACTGTATGGTCAGCAATTAATTTGCATTGGAAAATGATTTATAAATGTTGATTTATTTGACACCGAGTCATGCCAGACTCCTCATTTACGCTTGAGGCATTATTTATTATTATTATTATTATTATTATTAATAATAATAATAATAATAATAATAATAATAATAATAATAATAATTTAATTATTTAACTTTTATCTTGTGTAAAAGCAATGTGTTCATAATGTTACCCAAGAACAAATCGTGTGGCTTATTATACATGCTTACACTAAACTAATGTTTCACTGTTTGACATAAATTCATGCCAATCTCAGTTCAATATGTCAGTGTTTTTTCAGATTACTACTGCCTTGTTTTTAAATTTAAAAAAGAACATGTCTATTATGACATCACTCATCTGTATAGTCAGCCAGGATTTTGCATTTCTAAAGGTTTTGTTTTATTTTATTGACTCAGCAGCGTCATGGCAAACTCCACTCAGAATCCTTGAAACTGTATAATGCTTTTTTTCTCTTATGTGCCTACTTTGAAGAGAACAGTCTACCTTGACATTTCTCGTCTGTCTTACACCGTGGTGCAGAAGACTTGTGTATTAATGTGAAGCTGTTGTTTTTCAGGTCGTTGGCTCTGAGTTGTTTGGTCGGCAGACAGAATGGATGAAGAACCAGAGAGAGCCAAGCGCTGGGAGGGAGGCTACGAGAGGACATGGTAAAGCTGTGAAACCATGGAGATGTGTGTTTTCATGTGATCAGGTGTGCTGTAGGTATAACTTGTTTTTATTGGTTTGCAGGGAGGTCCTGAAGGAGGACGAGTCTGGCTCACTCAAAGCCACGGTGGAAGAGATCCTGTTCCAGTCCAAAAGGAAAAGGTGATCATGTGCATGCAGTTTGTCTGTTAGAGTTATAAATCAATCATTATAAAGTCATTCTCAGATCACTGGGTAATGTATTTTAAGTTTTCATTTTTGTTGCTCTCAGTAATAACACATGAACTCGTATTTGTAGTTCAATAAATTCATCTTCTCTTGTCATATTTACGAAACATGTCCCCCCTTGCTGCTGGTCACACATGAAGCAGCCACTTCATTAGAGGCACTGGTACAATTAAAGTGGAACGTATACTGCAGCTACAGCCATGAGTTCATCCTAATAGTGTTAGGAGAGGTATTCACTTAACTGTTTGCAGTGGTGTTAAGCTGGTTTGCCCGTTGACATAGAGGTGAGGGACTAATATTAGGAAGACTTTTCAATATAATTTATATATATATATATATATATATATATATATATACATCCCTGACTAAAGACTACTGCTCAATAGGACCTCAGTAATAAATATGAAGAACTTTAGTCTTTCTGACAGTCATACATGTAGAATTCTTGACAGAGCTGTAGAGTTAACCACCTACTCGTCTTAAGATTTGACCTCTTAAATCTTTGAATGTTACTGTTACTACAAACTCACCTGCTGCCTTGTTTACCTCACAGGGTGGTCGAGAGCCATGGACAGGTGCGGCTGGGGATGGTGAGTGACTTCTGCCTTGCTCTTACAGAACTTTGTGTTTCATTATCTATGAGGATGAAAATCTCATGTCCGCTATCATTTAGTCAGAGAAGTTAAAATAAATCACTTTTAATTCAGCAGTCTTCAATAGTACAGTCCTATAGGATAAGATTTATCCCTTCATCGATAATAAAAGTAAGAGGTGACTATTTGAATTATTCACTAATTGTGAATGACATTGTTTTCATATGAATATGACAGAAAATGCCTCTCAAAAATATTTAAGTATTTCTCATTTTAAGTTGATGTTTTTTTTCTTTTGGCCTCAGAATAGACACATTGGTTAGGTTAACCGTTAATGCAAACGATCATTAGTAGCATCATGAAGGCTTCATTAGGATGTAATGGTAATAAAAGGCTCAATGGATTGCTTTCATCATTACTTTTTCTTTATCACACTCACAGCTCAGGAGTGAAGGCAGTTCAGAGGAAGTAAACATTAAGTGGTAGCATAGAAGAAACTCTCACGTAAAGAGTGTCTTATTCAAGTTAAAGGATATCCTCTGCTCTAGATGCGTCATCTCTACGTGGTGATCGACTGCTCGAGAAGTATGGAGGACCAGGACCTGAAACCAAACCGCCTCACCTCCACATTGAAGGTAAATCTTTGAGCAGAACATCACAGCTAACACCATCAGTTCAGTTTGTTCAGTAAGAGCCGCTCACTGTGTCCTCTGTCTGTCTCTCTGCAGCTGATGGAAGCTTTCGTCGACGAATACTTTGACCAGAACCCCATCAGTCAGGTGCCTTTTTACACTTATTGAACACGTTTGACACTGAACTCTGTTGAAACTTTCAGTTTGATTCAGTCAAAATCAAAACACTCTTAAGGTTATAAATAAATATTCAAGTACAGGACTGCAGCGTCATGATGTACGTATACAGTGTATATATAGGGAGTGTCAGAAGTGTCCTCTTATCTTTGTAAAGTAAACTTCAAGATTGTTTTTTTTCATTGAGATATTCTAGGCAAATATATGTGATGATTCAGAATCTGCAGAGGGAAGTGATACATAAGTCATACATTTTAACTGGAAAAGATCATTTGTTACTTCTGTAGTTCTGTGTTTTTTCATGTCATGGTATCAAACCCCCTAAATCAATCTGTCAATTAATTACCCCCCCCCCCCTCATATTGGATAGTTTTTAATATTAAGTGTTCTGAATCAGGTCAATGTTTGTTATGTGTTTTTTTTTTGTGTGTGTATTTTTTGGCTTTTTACGCCTTTTATCAGTGAGGACAGTGGAGAAAAAAACTAGGAGAGAGAGGGAAAGGAAGGACATGCAAGAAAGGAGCCGCCGGATTCTAAGACTATAGCCTCGTACATGGGGTGCAATCTTAACTGCTTGGCCACCATAGCCCCAATCCCCGTTATTTTAATGGTCCATGGTATCAAAAAGAGACAAACTTCTTT